AGACAGAGGCTGCAGTGACCTCCATGGTGCTCCAGCATTGGGTCAGAACCTGTTCCTGTCCACTAGTTCTGCTTATTGAATTTCTCCCTAAGTCTGGTTCCTATTTTCCTCCCCACAAGAGGCGCTGAGGGGAAGAGAGAAGCCAGTGTAGAGCTGCAGTAAGTGGTGGTGGCTGACACTGAGAAGTAGGGTCGGTCTGGTGGGTTTCCATTCCTCAGACATTACTGGACACCAGCTCCATGCCTGGCCCATCGGGAGGCCCTGGGGACATAGTAACCAGAAGTACCCCAAGGGCTGAGTGTGGGGGGGGCATGCTTTCTCTTAACCTTTTAGCTAGGATTGGGGGAAAAGCGGAGGGCTGAGGAGATGGCTGAGTGAGTAAAGGGCTTGTTGTGCAAGGTGAGGGCCCTAGAACCCACATAAAAAGCCACGCTCAGCAGCAGCACATCTGTAATCCCAGCACCTACAGAGAAATGGGAGGCAGAGACACAGGAGGATCCAGAAGCAGGAAGGCCAGCTAGCCTGGCATACATAGTGAGAAATAAAATATCTCGAATAAACAAGGTGGAAGATGAAAACAGAAGCTGTTCTCTGGTTGTCAAGCACACTGTGGCACACATGCATCTGCACACACACACACACACACACACACACACACCAGAAAAACAAAAAAAGAATCATGACTGAAAGTGTTTGGAAAGGCCCTGGACCCCCTTAACTCACCCACGTCACAACATTGGTCTTCTCTGCTCCTTCACAATAGGAGCTCTGGCTCCTGGTAGTGAGGCTGATATGAGGCCCAAGTTCAAGGTCTAGCACTGCCACTTAGTGACTGTGTGACCCTGGGGAAGGCCCATCAACTCTCTAGGGCTGAGTCTTCTCAAATGTAAAATGGAGGTGACATAAGACTGTCTCTAATGTGGCCGATAAGTAGAATTAATGAGACCACACATGCAGTGGGTTTGCTACAGTATTTGACGGAGAATGGGCAGCTGATAGACAGCATTATTTTAGTGGTTTTCTTTAAGGCTCTTAACAGTGGACAAGTAGGCTGGGGGCACCTGTGGAGGAAGGCGGCGAGCCTGAGTTGAATCCAGGGTTTGGCCAGGAAAGAAGCTTCGGGGAGGGGCTGCATTTGCTTTTGAGGAGGCCTTAAACAATGGAAGAGTTCTCTAGCAGGAACATCTTAGAGACGGCTGTTGGTTCATAAGCAGCTCAGGCTTTGACTGGCTAGCACTAGACAGAACTCCTCAGAACAACAGTGCAGGAAGCAGACCCTGGAACTCAAGGCTGTGGGCATTTCTTTCTTTAGTATTTTATTTTATTTTTATTTTAGTTATTTATTATTTTTATTTTATGTGTATGCATGTATTGCCTGCATGTAGGTAAGTGCACCCGTGTCGTGCAATGCCTACAGAGGACAGAAGAGGCTGTTGGATAACCTGGAACTGGAGTTATAGACAGTTGTTAGCTGCCATGTGGGTGTTGGGATTCAAACCCAGGTCTTCTGCAAGAACAACCAGTGTTTCTAACCCCCAAGGCATCTCTCCGGCCCCAATATTTTATTATTTTTATCCTAACTGCTGAGGCATCTCTCCAGCCCCAGTATTTTATTATTTTTACTTTATGTGTCTGAGTATTATTGCCTGCCTGTATGTAAGTGTACCTGTGTCATGCAATGTCCAAGGCGATCAGAAGAAGTTGTCAGATCCCCTGGAACTGGAGTTACACACGGTTGTTAGCTCCCATGTGGGTGTTGGGAACCAAACTCGGGTCCTCTGCAAGAGCAGCCAGTGCTCGTAAATGCTGAGCCATCTCTCCAGCCTGGTTGTGGCCATTTCTAAACAGAACCTCTTCTTGGTGAGCCTTGGAATGACAAGACCACTCACCCCACAGAGAAGGCTTGAGTGTCTCAGCCATCTGCCCTTTCAGCAAGCTCTCAGCATCAACCGACCTTCCTGAAAGTTCTTAGATGGTATACTGACTATGCTTCCTGCCTACATGGACCTTTTCCCCTTCATGTGAAGGAACAACTGGCCAGAGTGAGGCAGTGGCCTGGTGAACCAAACAGCAGTGAGATGCCCTGAGCAGTCAGCTGGGCTAAGGATCTGAGGAGGAACAGAAGTGTCTAACAGTGACAGGTGATGGGCCCCTAGTGTTGTTTTACTCCTGGGAGTAAACATCTTGCTCACATCAGGGCTGCTCTGGAACCACACTTCCACATAGGAAGTCTTTGTCCATGTGGATGCCAATGTGACTGAAAGGTTCACCTACATACAGGAGACTCTGACTCATGGTCACATGACCTTCCATTGAAATACAGGCAGCTGTCTCCACACTGACTTCCACTGAGACAGGCAATAATCTTCAGTTTTCATTCCCTCTGGCACTGCCTTGGAGGTATGCTTGGCATTCAGGGTCACATGTGGGGTCCTTTGCAGGACATTGTGTGCTGCTCAGATGTGCCAGCCATGTTGACACATCCTCTAAGTCAACCCCTGTCTGGGCTGATCCATTTAACAAGAACAATAAGACAGGATTTAGGGGGAAGGACAGGGTGGGAATGCCACTTAAATATTTACCAAGATACTTTTTTTTTCTTTTAGGAACAGAAACAGAAAGACAGCAATCCCTGGTGGGACACCTTACACTGGATGATGAGTCTGCGGTGCTCCTCCCGAGAGTCCTCCATGGTGTACAGGGTCTGCTTGGTAATGCTGTTCAGGTCCACATTCCTCCAGTCCTCCAGCATCTGGAATGTGATGTCTGCGCTGTGAATCACCGTTCGGGAGGCCTGGAATCCAATCCAACTGATTTGTCAGTACATGGGCTGTGAGGTTAACACCCCAACCTCCATTTCCTTTTATGCCTTTTGAGTAGATCTGCTTATAGCATTTTGCAGACTACTCTGTAATCCAAGGAAACTCAATTTCAGGGAACAACAGGCAATGCCATAACTATGTGGTGAGCACCGTTTCTTTCTGTGGCTCTCTCCTCCCAACTCTTTCTCCACCAAGGTGACCCCGGTCAGGCCAAACCCTGCAGTCCCCAGATTTTTTGGTTTTGACCTCAACAAACAATAGGACGAAGCCCAGAGATCTGACTGCTTTCGATGTAACCTGGTGGGATGGAGCTCTGTGTTTAATAACCTTCATGCCTCTAGTGCCTGAAAAGTACCAGGGCCACCTGTAGGAACCATTCCTGCCAACCCTGGGCCTGTTGACAGAGTTAATCCCAGAAATATCACAATGAGTATTTTTCACATAAATGTATTATCCCACACTGTAAGGTCTTATTCAGATTGGTTTGCTTTGCACTGATTGTGTTGACACCACAGAGCCTTTGCACATTGTGTTCCCACAGACCAGAACATTCTTCTCCCACCTTGCCCTACTAATCCTACTATCCTGATGACACAGCCTCAGAGTAATACCCGTGGAGAGCCTTCCTTCTCTGACCATTTATCTTTGTAGAATATTTAAATATCCTATCCTTCACTATTCTCTGTTTCTACCCTGTTTCCTTGATAACAGTCATTTTTTATTTTATTTTGGGGGGTTGACTTGTGTTTTCCTGATGAAGGCAGGCACCACTAAGCATACTGTCTGGTATGCAGTGGGCACTCAAAAGATTTTGTGGGATGAGATATGAGTGCCAAGCTGCTTGCCTGCTTAGTGTATCTGAAAGAGCCTGACTATTTGGGGAAGTCTGGTTGGCTCTTTAGTTTGACTTGCTCTGGGTGTGTGTTTAGGAAAGTTCACTGGGCTCAGACAGACCATGGTGTTTCATTCCCATCATTAACCTCAGCCCAGAGCTCTGGCTGGTCCAGGAATGTGTCTGAGAGCTGTCCAGTGAAGTTGGAAAGGTGGCATTTGCTGACTAAATTGCATACTGTCTATGTGTGCAAAGTGGAGAGGGGACTGTGTGCATGCATGCACATGCACACTTGTGACACATAATTGTGTACATGGAGGTAGATTGTATATGTGCGTTAAAGGGGTAAAATTCTTCCTAAAGTACCTAAGCTACAGAGGGAAACACCAAAACCGTGTCTATGTTTTCAGACAGAACCCAAGGCTTGCTCTTCTAAGTGAAAGAGAACAAGAGGGCTGGTGATACCCTTTGAAATACAGAAAGAACAGTGTTTCTTGGTGTTTCTAATATTCATGTTCTTCCCTGAGTTCCAGTAATCTGACAGATTCTGCTTAATCCCCAGAACAGTGCCCAGCATTTGCCTGTGTTACAGCTTCTCTCCAGCCCTAAAGCATTCCCTGTGCCTTTTGTATGAGGATCCCAGCTGGCATCCCATGTAAACATTGAATAGCCAGTACCCAACCAGAGTCAGACAGTATCTGAACATGTAAAGGGGACAGGCAGGTGACATAAACAGGCAATGTGGATCAACTCTGAGAGTGAGAACTGGTGGGGGCAGGGGAAGGACAGGGCCATCCTTGCTGAAAGAAGCTATGTCATCCAGCTGCCTGCTACCCAAGGGACCTGCTGCTCTGGGCAAGCTGCTAGCTCTTGAAGGGTTTCTACACACAATTTGGGTGTCCAGATGTCATGTTTGGTGAATGGGAAACTAGCATCTACTGGGTAGAGGTCAGGGATGCTGCACAATTTCACCCCCAAATGTCAAAAGTAGTTGACAACCTCTACTACTGGGTACCTAAAACACTGAAAGGGTCAGAGGTAACTGGATGTTAGAAATGACTGTGTCTATAAGTTGAAACTTTAGTTATGGGCTGGGGGATTTAGTCCTTTCCTGTAGATATTAAACACAATGGAGAGAGTGCCCTGATTCTCAACCGGACCAACGCCACAGGAAGTTATCTGTGTGGATGTACCCTGCCCTTTGCAATGACTCAGCAGTGGGTTACTACAAATGACAGAGGATGGCCACCTGACAAAGATGGTTCAGCGATGTCTGCCTTCTTAGAATTTGGGAAAACCTTCTCGACACTGCAACAAGAAAACAAGCAGTTAGAAACGTTTGTTTTCGTGCCTTGTGATCCAACCTTAGATTTCCCCAGGGGCGGATTCAAACGTAGCTTTCCTTTTTGTCCTAACTTTGTCTCGCCCTCACCGCCCTGTTCCTTTTTATGTCCTCACCGGCAAACCCCTGAATATGACTCTTTGTTCTCCCATCTTGGCTCCCTCAACAGCTATTTCCTAATGGTGATATTTGGGGTGCAGATTTCAAAGTCATGCACACGCCACACTCGCAGGTGTGAGAAATGGCGGCATCAATCAGCCGTGAGTAAAAGCAATTATTCACTTGCCTTTCATTTTGCTAATTGCAAGCTCAATCACTTCTTCCATAAATAATTGCAGGAATCAAATGACAGCTTTGAAGAAGCCCCTTTAAAAGTAGCATGTCTCATCGGAACCTTGACTGAGCCCAGCCCAGGTGTGGGGGCCCAAGGGCGCTGCTGGGATTGAACCTGGGCTGCCCCTCAGAGCTTGGCATACATCATCTATCATTGTGGCCAAAAGATCTCTGGGACCTATTTGCAGGTTTTGACATTTAGGAAAAGCTCTGTTTTCAGAGCCAACATAAAATTATCAGATGTAAGGGGACTTTATGTCTGGATCTTTGAAAAGTCCTGTCCCTGTCCAATGTCTTCATTCTTCCCAAGTCTTACCCTTTGGGGGGAGTGAGTGGGCGCAGGGTGTGGTGGGGGGATGGTGTTTGTGTCCATCCTCTTGCACATTCTCCAAATACCCAGGGTCCCTGGGAAGGACTGCTGCCCCTGGGCACACACAGGTGGAAGGCCCAGCCCACCTCTTCCTCACTGCAGACTTTGGATGGGTTGTTTTGTCGGCGTAATTAAAATGGGCACGGGGTATTCTTCTCATTAATTTCTGAACTGGTCATGCAATAGTCAGAAATTTCCCTAGGATTATTCTAATTTGTACTCAGAGCTGGCTTGGTTTGAAAAATTGGGTGTGGGGTGGAGGGATAAGGAAGGGGTGCGGGAGATGAACTTCTAATTTTCCAGGCCGATCAATTGTTAATCCTGCTCCTTAATTACTTTTTCTTTAACTTTGTGATGTGGAATTTAGTGCTGAAGAAAAGAAAAGAACTGAGAGCCGTGAAATAAAGCGAGCTTTATCAATAGGTGATGGGCACTGCAGGCGGCCTCAAAGCGTCTGAAAGGGCTCCTTTGCCTGCAGAGAGAGGGTAATTTGATCGCCTTCATTTTCCTCACTGGCACTTGTTTCGGGCAAGAATTGCAAGCTGTATTCAAATGGGGCTTTAAGAAACATATATTTTAAAGCCTTGTTTTGCTTAAAATCATCTCATCTTTGTTTAATAGCAACAAATGAGCTGTGCACGAGTCTTCGCTGCCCGCAGATGCATCGAGACAGAAAAGTCAAACCAGCTTTCTCAGATTCAGCTAAGTGCTGGGGAATGAGAGGTGATGCTCAGCAAAGAAAAGATGCACGGGCCCAGTCCTCCTATGAGAAATATTAATTTGGCTTCTAATTAGGGAGAGAATATGTCGACGCCTCAAGCTGTTCTCTATCTGCAGTCTCTGCCTTTTGTGAACGAGAGCTTCAAGGAAACTTCAGAGCTCTGAGGTCACATCCACTCAAGCTTAATTTGTTGCTCCTAATCACCAGCTGTGTGGCTGAGAGGCTTTGAGGGAAGTTTCTTTGCCTCTCAGGGCCTCATCTGCAGATAGGGACACCATTCCCTACATAGTGGTGGTGGCTGGAGTTAGGAGAGTTGTGTTGATGGGCTGCTTTGGCAGCAGACAAGGTGACTAGGAGTGAACTCCGTTGTTGTCACTTACTACCTCTCTATGCCGGAATTCCCTCTCTGTAGGAGAAGTGTGCTGTCCATAACAAACATTTTATAAAGATTAAATAAGTTTATGCATAGAAAACAGTTAGCCTAATTCCTGGTGCTTGGTCAGCACACAGTACATAGTAGTTGTTATTTTATCAACAAGCCCACATGAAAGGCGAGGCACTAAAATGTTACTCTCTCCTCCATTCTGCTCCTAAGTTCAGTACTTACATTCAAATTTGATGTTTCGTAGGTTTTCTGGGAGGTCGTGGAGAGCCACCTTTAGCCACTCATCCAGCTGCTTGGCAAACTTTCGAATCACTTGCGTTAAGCTAAAGACAGAAATGATACATTTTAAGTGTCTCTTATATTGCTGAATCCTTGGAGAGTTTTATTTCCCATAATCCTGTTTTTGCTTCTACCAATAGATGCCACTCATCAGAGTGGCTCAGAGTCTGCAGCCAGCAGCCCACACCTTTGAAGAGCTGGTGGCTTTGGGGGAAAGGCTCATGGGTATGGGTGCTGGTCCATGATGCACAGTGGTGGGTAAAAGCCACTGCAAGGTGAGGTGGCATCCAGAATTCTCTCTCTAAGAGCAAAACATGCCTGGTGGTGTTTTGAAAGAGCCTTGTATGAGGGGTGAAGGCTGTGGGCCTTGGTCTAAGAAAGCTGTTTTGCAATTGACCTCCACGCCCCATGTTTTCGCACAGTCTTGTTCAAACTCCCCAGCCTGGAAGAATCCTGTCAGCAGCATTTGGAGCTGCCTGCCTGCCTACCCAGCCTGCCATTTGGTGGGATCATAAAAGCAACAGCTCATTAAATTTTTTTTACATTTATTTATGTAGCGTGGGGTGGAGGTGGGGGTGGAGGGGTAGTTACGTGTGTGTCACAGCGTTTATGTCCAATACAGAGGACAACTTGTGAGAGATGGTTCTCTCCTTCTGTCTGCCATGTAGGTTCTGGGGCTCAAACTCAGGGTGCCAGGCTTGCCAACAAATACATTACCCACTGTGCCGTCTTGCTTGCCTAGCAACAATTTATTTTAAATTGATAAAAAGCCCTAATACAGACTTGAAACCATAGTAGATTTTGAGGATGGAAATGGGAGGAGGCTAGACCCGAGAAGTAATAAAGGGGCATAGGGTCTGGTATGAGATGGGAACTTGGAGTTGAGAGAACAATATGCAGCAATTCCAGACCGACCATCAAACTACCTGCTCATAGCCCCAGACTCAGTTTCCTCACCAGGGTCCTCCTTGGTCAAGCTGGATACAGGGACCTCTCCCCAAGTGGATCATCCACGTCACCCCAATTCAACATATGCCACCCACCCTGCCCTGGTTCAGTCTCTGCCATCTTCTGTCAAATCATGCCACCAGCCTCCACCCCACTAGCAATTCCTGCCCCATTCTTTCTTCACCCACTCTTCCCTTTCCATGACTAGTTGATGCTAACCTTCTCTAAGACCCTCACACCTCCAGGATCGTCTTCTTCACCAATAGGTGGTATAAGGGAGGACCACGGTCAACATCCTGTACCTACAGGAATCATGTACCTTCCTCCTAATAGAATCAGGGATACACTCTCCTCTTGACCTAAGGCTAAATCCCTCATCTCTCCCTGCCTTCCTAGGGGCATTATGTTACTGACTGCCCTTTCTCCTGTGAATTCATCTTTTCCTCTCCATTGGATCATTCATTCCTCTGGTCATTGTAATGCATTCAAGAATGACTCGCCTTGAGAAAATAAAATCATTATTTTTAAAATAAAGGCATATTTCTTTTTAATATTTTATTCATTATTTTCATTTTATAGGTATGAATGTATTGCCTGAATGTGTGTAAGTGTGCCTGTGTCATGCAATGCCTGCAGAGGTCAGAAGAAGGCGTCAGACCCCTTGGAACTGGAGTTTCAGACAGTTGTGAGCTGCCATGTGGGTGCTGGGAATCAAACCCAGGTTCTCCCCAAGACCGATCAGTGCTCTTAACTGCTGAGCCATCTTTTCAGCCCCATAAAAGCTTATTTCTAATCCCCTTTCTGAATGTCCTTATTCATTTTACTTTTAGCATACGGCTTCTTTATTGTTTCTTAGTTGGTGGGCATGGTCACCCTTACTCTTCTCCCCTTCCCCATATCTTTGAGTGACATCTATTGTTATTTCCCGTGGCTTATGGCTCATCACCTCCCCTGAGAAGCTTTTCCTGACCACCCAACCTAACATAACTTCCCAAATGACTGTCCTGTTAACCTGATTATTTTTAAACTATAATTTAGCATTGCTTGGCATTGGAGATGGGATGAATTCATATACTTATATTCTACCTCATCCACTAGATGTAGAATCCCATGAGGGCAGGTGCTTAGTTTTCATGACTTTATTTCCCAGGGCACTCAATAAATACTTAATGAAAATGGGGGTTAGGGCGATACAAAGAATGGCTTACATTTAAAAAAAAAAATAAGGGGCTTGGGAGATGGTTTAGTTGGTAAAGGGCTCTCTGCCTAGATGTGAGGACTTGAGTTTGGATCCCAGCACCCTATGTAGAGCACAGGCCTGTAATCCTAGCCCTCCTATGGCAAGCTGGAAAGCAGAGACAGGAGACTCCCTACGAGCTTTGGAGTTACCTAGTTTGGTATACACAACAGTAAGCAAGAAACCCTGTCTCAGACAAGGTAGAAGGTGAGGACCAATACCAGAGCATGTCTTCTGACCTCCATGTGTGTACATGCCAACACCTATAACATAAGTTACAAATAAATGCCTCTTATTTCCTATATCCTCTAAATCACCAGCTTGTCTTTTTTCACTCCACAGACACTTCTTCAGAGTTACCCAGACTTTTGGTTACCTTCTACATTCTCATTGGCTGCTGCCTCATTCCTGTCCCTCAGCCTACATGGCTGTCCCCTGAGGTAGTGAGCTCTATCCAAGGCAGCAGACCCAATGGACTCATTTTGGTTCCCATCTTGCTGGGCATCTTAGCAGTCCATCTTTGACCCCATCCTTCTCTGGGATTCTCCTTGCTTCCCATGGCACTGGTAGCTGCTCCTCAGGCAGAGCTGGGCACCCTCCTACCTGACATTATAACATCATACAGCTCTTTGGGTCTAGTTCTGGGCCCCCTAAGAAAGCCTTATTCCTCTCTGGGTTAGTAATTTCTCCATGCCCACAGTGTCCACCACCTACACTCACATTTATAGCCACGGCACAGAGGTCTGCAAAATAGCGGGATCATTGTGTATGTATATGGTACCTCTATTCACAAATCCCTAAGGCATGTTGGATCCAATGTGCCCAAAATGAACTCTTGCTTCCCCTTTCAAACCTGCTTCTTTTCTTGAGTTCTCTATTTAGGAATGAAACTCTACTTTTCACCAAGTTTTGTTTTCAGATTGCTTCTTACAAAGTGTTTCACACAGACCCTAAGAAGGGACAATAAAACAAACCTCCAAGTACCAATGACCCAGCTTCAATAACGACCAGTATTTTGCCAGTTTGATTTACTACAGGGCCTCTTCTCTGGAGGGTTTTAAGAAAATCCATTATGTAATTCACTGTCAGAAATTTACTGTACAAGTTTCACATGGTTTAAATATGCATGTCTGTGTATATATGCACACGTGTGCATGCATTTAAAACCTCCGTTCTGTTAGAACACCTAGCATAATGAATTGTAATTCCCTGATAATATCTAAAGCTCACTTTATTTTTCACAATTTTCCACTTCCCTTAAAGACACGTTAGTTTGCTTGAATCAAAGAACATGCATATATTGTAGATAAGATATAATACTGTCTTATGCAGTATCTTAAACTTTCTAAATTCTATTTTGTACCACTGATGCATTGGCACATCCTGTTATTCATTCTGTGGGATGTTTCACACTGATTTGCTCTATTTCTTCCTTATAGTGTCATTTAATCTATTCACCTATCCTGTGAACTTCATGATAGGTCTTAAGATCTGATTGAATTCAGTTACAATATTTTTAGGCCAGGAAACTATCGATGACGCCTTGCTGCATCTATCAGGAGGATGACAATGGCTCAGTGCTCCTCTTTCAGTGCACCCATGATGTGCACTAGTACTAGTGTTCCAACACAGTCTCTTGCCCCCTTTAAACAAGGGTTCCAACTTACTTCTCAAGGGCAGCCAACGTTCTCCCTTTCTCTCTCTTCAGTCTGCCATCTCATCACACTGGGGCTCCAACATTAGCTTCCTAAGACCATCCCCAATGCTTGCTTTCTACTCCATCCCATCACATGAAGGGGATTTCCTCAAATGCGTACAGTGTCGATGTTTCCCCGTTGTGTTAAAAGTCCTCAGTCCTTTCACACCTTCTTAGAATGAAAGTCCAAATCCTCACCCCAGCCCTCCAGCAGGCTCATATTCCAGCCTTACCTCTCTGTCTCTGCCTTGCTCTTTCCTGGGTTCACACTTCAGCCCCACTGGCCTCTGCCCAGTTCTCTCCTACCCAGGGCCTTCACCCTTGAAGTTCTTTCCACCAAGAAAGAACTTCCTTAATTCATTGCTCAGCTCCTCTTCATCTATCTCATCATAGAGCAGCTGCTACTTCCATAAGAAAACTTTCCCTGAAGCCCCCAAGATGAGGTCAAAATCTGCAGTTATTCCTTTTGGGAGGCACCATGGTTGCGATAGCTGGATCATTCTGTACTGATTTCTGTAATTATCTGATTGGCCCACATCTTCATTAGACCATACACTCTGGAGCAGAGGGCAAGGGCTAGATCTGCTTTGCCTCTCACTTTAGTCTCAGCACCTAGCACAGTACCAGACACATAGTAGGCATGCACAAAATGTTTTTAGATGAAATGAATGGATGTATATCTCCCAATCCTCTGATGGGGAAAGCCCAGATATTCTCTATAAGGCCCTGCCCAGCTGTCCTCATCCCTCCCAATGAGCTCTGACTGTAGCTGTTCCCTCTAGCCTTCTGGTTTCCCATTCCTCCAGCACTGGCCTCCTTTCTGGTTTTCTAGCACCCTAAGCCCTTGTCCACTTTTCTAGGACTTTGGACATTCTTTTTCCTCTACCTGGAACATTCTTGCTTCAGAGAGTGGCAGAACTTCCTCCTTTACCAACTTCAAGCATTGGTCCAGCTGTTGACACCATTGTTCTCTTTCCATTATGAAAGCCCCACACTGTCTCAATACTCGATCCTAACATGGATCTTTAAAAAGATTG